ACGGGCATTGCCCCAGGAGCTCCCCACGCACCCGCAGCTTTGCTTGCCCAGAGCTGCCCCAATTCAGCTCCCGCAGGGCCCCAGCATGAACCAGCAATCGCTTGGTGCTGGGCCAGGGTGCCCTGAGGGACTGAGCCTGCTCAGCGCACCCACAGCTTTCTCAAAACCACCTAATAGCACCTGGCACGGCTCACAGCAACCGCTCGCCTCCAAAAGCAAAAGGGAAGCACCCACCTTTCGCTGCAGAGCATCGTGCTGAGAGCACGTAGGGAGCAAGGGACGGCCAGGGAGGGCCAGGGAACGGCGGGCTTGCAGGGCCGAAGACCATGGAGGACTGAGCACCAGGCTTCGTAAGCAGCAAGGCTCAGCCGGGTGTCCCGCGTCCTGCTCCACCTGCGGAGGCTGGCTGCTGGGGTTTTAGCCAAAGGAGGTAAAATGGACGAGTGAACCCAGGTGAAAGGACAGAGCCTCTAATCTGACCTTCTCATGATCCCCAATGAGCAGTGGCTCCCATTGATGAGGAGCAGGGACACAGCTGGATACCCACCAGGTGTCCAGATCCCAAATGAGAGCCCCGTGCTTGACCCCAATGCATTTTGCCTGCAATGCCCCATCAGCTCACCCATCACCCAGCCCGGCACGGGCACAAGCTGGTTTCTTGTCCAACCGTCCGCTAATGAAACCACTTCCACTTCTCCAGGCTCAAGTTTCCCATGTGGGAAGCATGCCCTTGGCACCCAACAGCTTGCTTTGCCATGCGTGTGTCATGGACATTTAGTGCTCATGAAAGGTGCTCAGGGACAGGAGGGAGATGGGAGCTGGGGGCAAGAGGGATCTCACCCAGTTTCCTTCTACTATGTTAACAGCAAAGGGAGAAAAGTAATAGATTCATCAAAAATGGAGATCTGCCACGGGGTAGATATAGCCTGAGCTTGATTTTGGGAAGGGCTACGTGGCATCGACTCCTATTCTTAAGGGCTAATGTCTCCAAATGAGCTCGACACAGCCTGCCACATAGCTTGGCACCTTCTCTGCATCCCACCACGCTTTTCCTCCCTGGTATCATGGGTCAGCCAGGAGCACAAGCCGGGAGGCTGCGGGCCCTCGACTCTGCAGCATCAAAGGCAGATATTGTTTCCTGCCTAAAAAAGCATGCACAAAGGGGAAAAGAGGCAGGGAAATAATCCACGTCCCTTCAGAGCTGCCAAAATACCTTGCTGGGAACGCAGAATATCTTTCTTTAATGGCCCTCCCTTTGCTCTTAAACACCTGTAAAGCAAAACACAGGAAAAAAGCCCAAAAGATGCTGAAACCGAAACCACACGCTCAGCGTCAGCCTGAAGGAGGTGTTTCAGGTTGAACCACTGACCCGAGAAGGTCTTTCTTTGCCCAGTTATGCCTTGGCAGTAGCCACTGCCAGCAAGAAGCAGCACGCTCTGACGCACGGGTATAAAATTTCCTCCAATTGTGGTGGGCAGGGAGGAGGCCACAAACACCTTCAGCCATGGGGAAAACGAGGGTGGAGAGTGCCGATTCACGGGGCACCGGGCTCTACGCTGCAGCTGGGGCGGACACACAGCGGGGAAAGGTTTTTCCATCCCCCGCTCTCTTGCGCTGGGTTGGACCTGAGATGCACCTCTGTGGGAAACGAAGGTCTCTTTGCAGAGGATCCAAGAAGGTGAAGTCAAAGCCTTTTTCCTCCTTACTTGCAGTGAATCCCTCCAAAATGAACCATCACTTGGTATGACTGCACCTGCAGCTACAGAACGGTAGTATTGGAGCGGTTTGATGTATCTACGGTGACTTTGTGGTTGCCTTCAGGCTGTTGCATGGAGGCATCAAGGCATCAAGGCATCAAGGCATGCCAGCCTGACCCCATCACGCCAGGCAGGGAAATCAAGCCCCAGAGCAGGAGCTGGCTGGTGGCAGAATGAGGCTCGGCAGGTCTGGGTTATAATTTAAGAGCAGGCTTACGCATAAACTCATCTTGTTTCCAGCCTGATTTTGGACAGCCCAGCCAGGCCGTGTCCCACCGTCCCCATCAGAGCAGCCTGGCTCCTCCTGCCTCTCCCCATGCTTGCAGAGACCAAGACTGGCAGAGGTGGGCAGGTCGGCCACACAGACAGTCCTGGGGGGACCCCATGGGAAAATGTAGCAAAGGTTGGATGGGGTATGAATGAGTTTATCTAAGGGTTGGTGGACATGGAGTCTTCCCTTATCAACTACTTTGATCCATGCTCCATCAGCGCAGGATGCTCATGTGTCCTCAAAGGTGCTTCTCCAAAGATGCACACAGAGCAAGGGTTTGAACCAAAACCAACCCAACTGGGCTGTGCCATCACCGTGCTGCCCATCACCGACAGCATTCCCCAGCCTGGGGTCTTCCATCGCCGAGGAGATGGACATCACATCGCTTTGGTCCTTGCAGGGACAGAGCGGGTGTTTTGGGAGCTGTCGAGCAATGAGGAGGAGGCTGCGAGGCAGCTGAAGGGCAGGCAGAGGAAGGACGGGCAGAGGAAGGCTGCCACCTGCTGTCCGTAAAAACCTCTCCAAGCCATAAAAATGGGACGAAATCCAGATCTGCATGTGCATCTGAAAACGCAGCTTCATGCCCCCATGGTGCGGTCTTCCAGGATGGGAGAGCCACCAGCAACTCAGCCCAGGTGGAAAGGGGAAGATCACAGAGGATACTTGGAGAGGGGAGACCACCATGTGCCAACGGGCTCGTGAAAAATCAGTGGAGAAAGTGTCCTGTAAGACATTTCTCCGACCCACTCTGACACTGGGAGCCACGATTAAGAAAACGGAGTCAAGACGACAAGCACTGCACTGGCTGAGCTGAATTTCTCTTCTCCTGAGCCCCCCCCACCACTGCAGATAGCTCGTGTGTCTTCCTGGGCCAGGGGGACATCGTGTCACCAAACAGTGTCATCATGAGCTAATTTAGTGGCATTAATAAATATCCCATTCAAGTGATGGGTAGGAGATCTGGACCTCTCCTCCAAAGGTTGAGCTAATTAATCTCCTCTGATGTCAGGCTTTCTCGTAAGGCCATTGTTGGCCCTAATTAAAAGGCTCTTCAAGATGAGTGTCCCCTCAACACCAGCCATATTTTGACAGTGACAATAAGTACAGAAATCTCTTTGGTAGAATAATAATAATTACTCAACCGCGAGAAGAAAGGTCCCAGGAGGAGAGGACAGTGGTGGCGGAGAAATCAGGACTTGGAGCCCTCGTCTCTTCTGATGGCTGGTGTTGGGCGAGGGAGAAACATGGCCAAGCTTCCCAAGACGTGCTTTGCTCTGCCCGTTGACCATGCCTCTGTGAAAAGGGCAGATCTGGTCCCCCGAGCACTGAACCGTAGACATCCCTTAGCCAAGAGCTGCCCAGATATCTCAGAACTGCCCCAGAAACACAGCCTGCCATCAGTCCTCCGCATCAGCAGCCCTCAAAAGCTCATCTGCCCTCCCAGCATCTTCAGGGAGCTGAGGGCTTTGCTCCGTGTCCACCTGGAGCTGTCAGCACCCTCTCCTCCAGGGCCAGATGCGGTTCTTTAGGGCTACCCTCGGTTTTGCTCTTCTCAGGCCTTTTTTTCCTTCGCTGGACTCGAGGATTTAAAAAAATGAGCCCAGTTCCCAGGAGACGCCCCTGCAAAACTATTGTCCTCGGCCTGATGAGTTCCAGATGTTCCCCCAGCTCCTGGGCTGACCCTGGATGTCCCATAGGGAAAAACGCTGACCCAGGTCTGCGGCCGCCCACGGTGCCTCCCGTCATCCCCAAAATGAAGAAATGATGGTGAACGACCCCGGTTTCAGATCTGGCCTTGGGGAACAAAACCAGGCTTGGATCAAACGTGGTGTCTGTCCAGCTGATGAGCTGTAACCCCAATTTTACACTGCAGGAAGCAGCAGCAAGTGCTTGGGTACCCAAATGCTTCTTTTAAATTTTCGCTTTTGCTTTTTTCTTAATGTTTTTTAACTCAAACCGAAGGTGTTTGAAAGGGCAGCCCTGCGGGCAGAGAAATCATTTCTCTATGCAAGATGTGCTGTGGCAATGAGGGGCCATCTCACCTGAAAGGAGGAACCCGATAGGTCACGCCTTTTGTCCAAGAAGTGGAAAAAAATAGAAAAGGTAAGAGAAACAGCAACAACAACAACAAAAAAAACCTCGCTGAAGGCGTAAGCTGAAAAATATGGCAACAACTGTATTTTTTGCAACAGCCCCACTTCAAAAATCCTGTAATGATTCATAATGACCCATCCAACTAAAACCAGGAGTACCGATGACCTACCCGTCAGCTTTTAGCATCCTGCTAACAAGCTTAAAAGCACTGGTAAGGAGAAGAGTTTAGCCACAACCAGCTTGGAGGAGGAAAATAGGATCTTGCTTTTAGGGGAGCGGTTGTCTTTGCAGAAGGTAAGTGCCTTTTCCTCCCTTCTTTACCACCAATCTCTGAAGAAATTAAACGAGAATAATAAAAGTGCTTGGTGATAGGCAACCCACAGGCTGATTTTCAGCAAAGAAAGGGTGGGGGTTGGCATTTTACTCCCCCTGAACTGCCGAGGCATCCAGCAAAAATAAAAACTGTAAAACTCTAATTAATCAACTCTTCTGAAAGCAGCTTTTCTGAGCAGCTAATGGTCGGGAAAGTTCTCCAGCGCTCCAGTGATAAGCTCAAGACAGAAATATTGCTCCTAGATAGAAAAGGGGAGGTTCGTGATAAAGCTTATTGCAATGAATTATATCTTCAGATTATACAAACCCGTTCTTGCGGCTGTGTGCCTGCGCCTAAGCAACGGGAGGCGTGCCGATAGGTGATTGTGAGGATGCGATTTTCACATGCACCCCTCAAAACGCTGCCAAGCCACCCGGGGAGGGGGTTGTCCCGAGCGGGATCTGCCCCGTGCCACGTGCCCGGGCTCCCGCAGGGGCTGGGGGGGCAATGGCCGTTGCAACCCTGGACGTTTCTCTCTCGACTTCTGCCTTCTCCAGAAAGACAAATGCAGATTGTCCGGCGGCTGTACCTCTCCGGGCTGGTGTTTGCCGTGCTGATCCCGGCAGGGTGGCAGATGGGCCCCAAGGACTTGGGTGACACGTCCAGGTACGGGGCGTTGGCGGAGCTGGCCCGGGGAGACGGCCGGCGTGGGCAGGGGCTGTCGGAGCCGCTCAGCCCCCCCCGTTACCTTCGCTGCCAGCTCTCCCGGCTCCGGGGCTATTGCAATGCGCCTGTTTTGTATTTATCCGGACAAGCTCTCTACCAGCCCACGCAGGGCAGGGCCGTGTCCCCCCCCGGGATTCCTCTGCCGTGTCAGACCAGGGTCGGGCTGCACGGGGACGCGGCGGGGCAGAGTCAGGACGGGGCGACGCTTTGGGCAGGGTGCTGAGCCCTCCTCCATGCCGGTGGCCGTGGGGGAGGAAAACCGTTTGGGGACCTTCTGCCGGGGTGAATTCGTGAAAGGGGGGGCCCCAGCATCAGCTCCCCATCCCGGAGCTGCAGGAGGTGGATCCGAACCTCGAGCAGCAAGCGGGGACCAGGGGGGAGGCACGAACCCACCACAGCCGAGCAAGGCATAAGGCAAATAATATGGGATAGGCTATTGCGTGTGTTTGATGTCAGGAACAACCCCGGCCAGGCTTGGTAGACCCCCCTGAAACTGAAGATTATTTTTATGTATTATTATCGCTTTTCTGGAGGATGCTCCACGCAGTGAAGTGTTTCAGAGGACACAGCCCCCACCCAGGGGACCCCGAGCAGGGAGCGTGCAGGATCCCCGTGCCACGATGTGCATTAAACCGCGTTTTCTTCCCCCATCCTTCTCTCCCGAGCAGATGGCGGTCGTATGAATCACAAAGCGCCCGAAGCTTCGCGTCCAACCTCAAGCGACACTCGGAAGGCACCTTCACCAGCGACTTCACCCGCTACCTGGACAAGATGAAGGCCAAAGACTTTGTGCACTGGCTCATCAACACCAAGCGGTACAGGTGAAAAGGGGAGAGGGGAACGGGACCGCGCTGGGAAGTAACCTCCCGCCACACCGCGAGCCCCCCGATCCCAGTCGATAATGCGGTTTTAGTTTTCTCCCGGCTGTTTTCTTATTTTCAGCAGCTCCACGAAGAGGTACCTGCAGGAGGAGCCCCGCAGCATCCCTTTCCCGGCTGCGTTCCCACCGCCCGCGTAAGTCATCCCAAACGGCAACCGGGGTGAATTAAAAGCGAATAAATGAGTAATTTTAAAATGTAGCCGCGAATCAGTGGTTTCGGTGCAAAGGCAGAGCGCGGCTCCCTACGCCTGATGCTGCTTCTCATTTTTGGCTGGCTCACGTGGATTCTCTGGTGTTTATTTGCAATAAAATAAAACAAGGAAAATTAAGGTATTTGGGGGGGGATTTAATAGTTTACAATGGGATGAGGCTGTTTTGTTCTTACCATGCTTTGTTCTGACGTTTTACTTCATTTGAGTGTTAACGTGGTGGGATCATTTGCATTTATAGGGGATATTATCATTATTATTATTATTATTATTATCATTTTCAAACGAGAAGATCACCGCCGCTGTTTCAAAGCTATTAAAGTGATTTTAGGGGGAGTTTCTATTCCATGAAGCTGTTTGGTGTTTGTTTGCTTTTTAATTTTAAGGTACAATTAAATGGCAAATCAAGGCGTCGGCTTTCCAGCACCATCAGCCTGGGGATGTTGGACCCCTCCACTGCCTGTGGGAAGGATTTATCCGTCACACGCAGCCACTTTAACCCATTCGGTGCTTCCCAGTCTCCTCCTCCTAAATTTTGCACCCGTGGATCAGCCTTCCCTTCAAACCCGGGTTCCTCTGGCTTCACGTTCTCTATAACGGCTCC